TGGCAAAAACAACAACAACAAAAAAAAAGGCAAATCCCTCTTCCTGCAGTCACAGCACTTCAAATGTGTGTGTGAAGAGAAACCTTGTAAGTATTGCCATACGCGCTCGTCGCTGTTGGATTGATCCAACCACCCGTGTTCCTCTGTCTGTCTGTCTGTCTGTCTGTCCTCGTCCCTACGGCAGCTCGCTGGGCAAGGCCCTGGGTTTTCCAGGCAAAAACCACTGAGGCATCTCCGAGGGTCCGTGGTGGCAGCGTGGCTTAGACCAGGAGGAGGCAGGTGAGAGGGAACTCGGGATAATGGAAAAACCAGGATGTGAGCTCACGGGAAGCTTACTCTTCATGAAGCACAAAGACAAGGTACTTTATTTCTAAATAAACCTTATCTAGAGTATGTCTCCTAACGAGCCTGTTTCTTAAGTGATCTGAGAATGAAGAGATTTTTAGCATATTCTCTATTTTAGGATATTCTTGCTACGTATCCCAGGGTGCTGGGAGGTCGGTAAGAACCTGGCAGATTCTGAGGAATTGGGTTTTTTTTTTTTTTTGTTGAAGCTTTTTTTTGAGCGTGGATTTTCTAGAAAACTTCTCGGATTTTGAACTGTTTGTGTGAAGTTGACTATTGAGAGGAGGGGTTGTCACGCGTGTGGTGCTGCTGTGGACAACCATGGGAGGGCTGGACTTCACTGTTGATCATTGATTGCTCTTTTGCCAGCTACGAAAGGCAGCAGCTTGGCCTTAAGAGAAAAAAAGAAACCCTTTATCATGTTGCAAAATGGAATTGACTTTTTTTTGGGGGCCATTTCCTGGTGGTACTGTCATTGCTGTGCTGTGTGTTCAGAACTGGTCGCTGTGGGACCTCCTCACACCATGGACTCTCTGGTGTCTGTCTTCCCACCACTGCAGGGCCCTCTCCTGGCCCCCTGGTGTGGAGAGGTGTCTTTATGCTCTTTTTGTCACCAATGTTTACAGTTTAGCTTCACATCATCTGTCCCGACAGTGACATAGTCTGTGGTGGGACCTGGTCCTACGTGGCCAGGGCTGCTTTGCTGCCTAGGAAGTCAGGTGGGCCTGTCCCTCTCCTGCTGCCTTGGTGATGGCTTGGGTGTCTTCAGCAGGCACGTTCTCCGTGGAAGAAGGGCTGTTCTTAACCCAACTTACATCCTCCCCTGACTACATTTGGGATGTCCCCCAACTGTAGCCGGGCAGCAGGGTTACACTAAAGTACCCACACGCGCTCTGAAGCAGAGATTGATGTTTTTTTCTACACTCTGGCTAATTTGTGGACAAAGTGGGGCAGGAGGAGGAAGGTCGGGTGTTCTTTCAGCTCTTCTCTACGTGGTGGTTTCAGGAGTAGTGTGGGTGATGGGTACAGGACAGAAAGAAATCCACACTGGTTCAGGGGATTAAATAAACATCTTGTTCCACACACAGCAGTGAGGTGGCGGCAGCAGAGTAAGGAAACCAAATTACTTTGTTGTGTGAAGCACTTTCGTGGTTGGGTGAAAGCCTTGGGTATCTGCTGTGTTGCTACACTTGATGGAGCATCACCTGCACCGTGTGTTTTGGTTGTTTGATCCCTTTATATTATTCTTAAGGGTCTTATAGGTTTGACAAGATGGTTTGTACCATCTTCTCCCCCACCCTGCTGACCGTGCATTTAGAAAATTTATCATATGTGTCTCCTCTGGGAACACTCCCCGTTGGCTGAAAGGGTTGGCTGTGGATTTGCATTTGACTGAATTTAGGAGTCCAGTGGTCAGAGCTGGGACAGGCCCTGTGGAAGTCACCAAAGTGAGCTCAGGTGACAGCGTTCTTCCAGGCTGGAGTGCCAGGCTGCTTGCTGTTAGGGGTGTGAATTAGAAAATGGAAGGGTTTTCCCCCCTCTTCCCCCCACCCTGGTCTTCAAGTATATTAAAGTAATCTGAAACTGCAGGGTCTAATTACCCTGAACTGTGTGATGCGACCTCTTTGTGGTGGCTCTCTTGCAGCTGGCAGAGGAAAGGCAGTAGCTCTATACTTACAAAAGGGCATATAGAATTTCTCTTACTTGTGTTGCTTATCCCCTTCCCAAAAGTGCCTCGATATCTGTCCTCGAGTGGCCTGTACCTTAATAAAATAATCATCTACTTTAGACCCAATCTTTCTTCACTTTATCCTCACCCGCGGCACACCCTGAAGCTGAGATAGATACTAAAACAGCAGAGGAGGGGGATTTACAAAAATGTGAAATGCATAAGGAACTGCAATGGGTGGCAGGTTAAATAAGGAGCTGGCGAGGAAAAGGCTTTTGAGATAAGGTGCAATTTAAATTTCACTTGTGCTTAACTCTAAGCTACGCTGATTTGGGCATCATGGCTGGGAGCTGGGCAAGATTCTTCTTCAGGCAGCATTCCTGGGACAGCAGGTGGGGAGCAGAGACCGAAACTCAGAATCTTTCTTGCATAAAAAGCCCAAAGCACCGACGGAGCCGTGTCACTCCTGTTGTGAGAGCCTGGTGGGCTCCTGCAGAAGATCCAGCCTGTGGGGCTGCAGTTGGGCAAAAATCCAACTTATTATTAGGCACACACAGAGAAGCAGCTCAAAAAGCTTTTGGTTCTCCTCAGGCTAGGTGGATGCTGAGTAGGGGGTTCGCAGGGTGGTAATTTGGTTGCTGAAGACTGAGAATAGCTTAGCTCTAAAGTACTAGGTCTAGAAAGCAGCTCTTCTGCAGCCTTCTGTCCATTCAGATGTGAATCATTAAAGCAGCTGCCTGCTCCAGGCACTCACCAGTCTGACCAGAAGCTCCTCGTGTAGTGCCAGACGATGCACTGGAAGCACGTGCTCCCTTTAGTACTGCACCTGGTTTTGGATACCAGTTTAACTTGTGGCTGGAGGTGAAGTGCCTGTTGCTGTGGTGGTTGCAGTTGGTTGTTTCTTTCCTAATCTGCCCTTCTAGAGAGCAAATCACTAGTACAACAATCCATCCTTGCTGTTTGCCAGGGCTTGATTAGTTGTTTTTTTTCTTCATCCTGGCCGGGGGCTGTGCTCAGGCACCTGCAGCTCAACAGCCACTTGGGAGCCGCAGTGCTGAGCGCTCGTGCACAAGGCCAGTCCTGTTGCCAGAATCCTGTTTCCTTCCTTTTCTTGTAGCTGATCACAGGCTAACACTTCGCATTTTTAAATTAATCAAGGCTTTCTAATAGTCATAAAAATGAAACATTTCATTGGTACTAAAAAAGCAAGGTTCTGAAGTTTGGTCTTTTTCTGTTTTAGTGATTGTAGTAGACCAGTCTGAGGTACCTGGCAGTACTAGCAAAGCCCTTGTAAGGTAGATTTTGCTATTCTGGCAAAAAAAAAATAATTTGAGACTCTAATTACTAGATTCTTTTGCTGTGAAATGGTGGCAGGGAGGGTGGAAGGTTGACCCCAGCTGCCATGCTCAGGTAGAGCTTCAGCAGAATGTCTCACTCCAGGCATGAGTGGTTCTGAAGGCCAACTCACCCACAGGTGTCTGCTTCTACAGGAGACCATACTGGAGTAGCTGCTACTCCTATTGTATGTGTGTTACACAACAGGAGAAGGTGTTTCCTGGTGAACCACAGACCTGTACCTACTGAAGGCAGAAGCTATGCAGGACTCTTTAATTTGGCTTGGTCTGCCCAATTCCAGCACTAGGAAGGCTACAACAGCACTGCTTTGACTCCACGTACGTATCTGTGCTTCTAAGTGCAAGCTGTGTATTGCCATAAAGAAAAAACATATATGGGGGGATGTTTTAAGATTTAAGCCCCCACTACTTGACACGTAGAGTCAGCTCTCAGGCCCGTAGGGAGCAGGGACTGCAGGGCCAGCTCTAGGCAATGGTACTCAGTTTGTGAGCTCTCCTGACTGGCATATTTGGCCAGGGAATGAGAACCCCACCAGCTTGGAAGGGGTCACCAGTGTTACCAGTACAGCCCAGGGAACCCCACACATCTCTCAGATCCACCTCCTTAAGTTAAATAACTTTTTTTTTTTCTTTTTTTCCTCCTACTTAGAGCTGACCCTCTCTCTCGGTCTCTTAGGTAGGCTGACTTGCTTCCTCCGAGCTAGAGGTCTATGGTTACGCTGTAGAAGTGGGGGAGCTACAGTTGGCTTCCAGTGGAAGCTGCTTTTGATGTCCCTGCAGTATCTGCAGGGGAAGGAAGGGAGGAACACTATTGATTGGGACAGAACAAGCCGCAGAGGATGCATCTTACTGCTATACCTTTAGGTGGGGGGGGGCCTCTCCCCATTTTTAACTTGCATTATAAGCTTTTATTCAAGTGTAAAGCTGAAACCCACTCAGACCAAAAGAATGCCACTTGATTTGTTAACTAGCAAAGACTAATGGGACTGATTGAATCGTGTTCGGGGATATCTTCTACTAGGCTTCTGCTGGGTGTGAGCAGACAGTGGGATTTGCAGGGATTTCAGATTCTGTTCTCAGGGGGCCTGCCTGGGGGAAGAGCCCCTGACTGGTCCTCGAGTCGCCCATTATCTAAGGAACTGGTCATATTGTTCCTTTTAATATGCAAGTGCAGCCCTCTTGGGGAAAACTGTCTAAAGCTTCTTGTGCCATTTGGTTAATAAAAGTGTTTCCACCTTAAAAAAGAAAGTTCTTCCCAGCTTCATTGTTCTGTATTCAGTTAAAGGGAAGGGGTATGTACATTTTCTCCCTCTGCTAATGGGACACTGCTGTAAGACCATGCCCCCAAGGTTGCACTTTAATAAAAGGTACAGTTTTCAAAACCAATGTGTAGACTACTTCTGTGATTTCCCCCCATCCCTAGGAAAAAAAAAAAAAATGAAGACTTTATTTTACTTACCCAAGATTTGCTTATGCAAGGCAGAAGGCCAGCACCAGAGTGTCTCCATTGCTGCCAGCTGTGTTGTAAGTAGTAGGAAATTAAAGGATACCAGGAGAACTTAAAAAAACCAAACCAACCGAAACCAATACCAAAAGAAAAAGAAAAAAGATCCAGGTGGAAACTGAAATTCTTAAGACGCATATTGCCATGAGAACTGACAATTTTATTAAGTATTTTAAAAAAATCTCATGAAATATTTACATACTTTCAAAACTTCTGAGGCAGCTGGATCACAGGTGAAGTCTTTGCTGCCTTGTGGGATTACAGGTGTGCATCAAACAACCTGAGTCTGGGTTTGTTGAACCTGAGATGTGTCTGCAGTACACTCCTAAGAGATGCCTGGTATTCTTCCTCATCCAAGGCTGATACCTTCTTTCTCTGTACAGCAAGATACTCTAAAGCTAAACACTTTTCCTCAAGCATATCCAGGTTGTGTTCCCTGAAAGAATTTGCCCTGTACCTACCCCGTGCCTTTTCTTTACAATTTCTCATCTGGTTTTACTTCTCAAGCACGGGCTGATGGCAACTGGTACTGAAGCATCTTTGCTTTAGCCTTCCCTGGCCAAACAGCACCTCTATCTCCTTTAGGGTTATTCCCCCTTGCTGCCAGCTCCCCTCTAAAATAAACCTGATTTTTTGGCCCTCCCCTTGGTAATCTGTGCTGTGGACCCATTCTGCCTTCCTGGGAACAGTTAGCACTCAGCATGGCTCAGCTGCAGCACCAGGAGCAGGGCTGGGAAGAAGATAACTAAAGCAAAATGCTACGGCTGATGATTAGAAAGAAACAAAAAAAATAGAGGAGGCAGGTTCTCTGCCCACCATATTTCCCCTGGAGGCACAAGCCAGGGTCTGAACAAAGTCTGCTACTGCTAAGAAAAAGAGAAGACTATTGAGAGAGGGTAAGCACTAGTTCTTACAGGTGCTGGCAGAGCTGGCACATAGCTTACACTACCATCATTGCTGTGCTAGTCTACAAAAGCCTATCTACGGAGCTCTGCCGTTCCCTGTCACAGCTGTATCTCAGAAGTTAAGAACAGGAAGAGTGATTCGCGTACATGAAGTAAAAAAAAGTCTTGGGGAATCCACACTCTGCAGGCAGAGGGCTGGAGAGCTGGCTCACTCATGCAGCTAGGGGAGAGAGAGAAACAGAACCAGCATTAACAGCAGCAGAGCTGGCCCCCCTGCCCCAGCAACAAGCCCTGTGGCTGCCCCCACCACCCGCCTGAGGAGCCTGGCACCTCTTGGGGAGGGCGAGCAGCAGCCCCCCGGTGCCAGGAACCCTGCTGCAACTCTGCTGCCTGTCGTGCTGCCCCTTTGCCATCACCCCTCAGCCCCCCCTCCTTTCTGTGCTAATCACAGCATCGTCCAGGTTGGAAGGGACCTTAAAGATCATCTAGTCCAACCATCAACCTAACTCTGACCAAAAAATAAGTAAGAAATAAGCAATAAAAAAATAAGTAAATCACTAAACCATATTGCTGAGGACCATGTTAACCCATCTTTTGAATCCAGAGATGGTGCCTCAACCACTTCCCTGGGCAGCCTGTTCCAATGCTGGATAACCCTTTTGGTGAAGAAATGTTTCCTAATATCCAATCTAAACCTCCCCTGGCACAACTTGAGGCCATTTCCCCTTGTCCTATCTCCTGTGATTGGGAGATAAGACCAACTAGGGCTGGGGTGGGTGGACAACAGAGCTGCCATTTCCCATTGGCCCACTTCTCGTCGTTCCTCCATTTCTCAAGGGCAGTTCCTTTCCCCTTCCAGTTCTGCCAAGCTGTGGGAAGGCCAGGAAAACAAGAGCAGAGACCTCAGGCCCAAGACATTTGGGAAATACAGCCATCAGAGCTCAGGTCAGGCTTTCCTTTCCCGAGGGCATGATTAACCCAAGTCTTAACCCAAGTCAGACCCCAGGGAGGAGAGGAGCAATTACATCTCTGCCCCACAGGCTAAATGCACTCTGTTTTCTGGCTGCTGTGAGAGCGGGTGAGCAGAAGCTGTGACACACACTCCCTCAAGCCTCCCTCTCTCAGCACATCAACCTTCAGAACTCAGCAGGAACTAGCATTCCCTTCTGGCCAACCCTCCAGAGAGAACCTGGGCTGGCTAAGGGGCTGGCTGGGACTCTCACAGAGCTGCCTGACAGCACTCACCATTCTGACAATGTAGTTGTGGAGCTGCTGGTTGATGTAGTTGACGGTGGTCCTGAAGACACGCTGTAGAAGGGAGGGCATTGTATTGGCAATTTTTTTAGTTAAGACCATTGCTAGCACCAACATGGCCTTCTCCCGTTCCATGTCTGAGGGGATGGCCCGTACAAGCCCTTCCACTGCCTCCGACATGCGCCGTGTTATCTCCTGTGTGGAAGGGAGAGAGAGGGATCTCAGTGCAATAGTTGGGGGAGAAAGGAGTCTCAGGGCAGCCTGCCAGCACTGCGCTGGTCAAGTGATGTGCTTGTCCTAACACCTCACAGGATGGCTGTTACACACACTGGATAGCAAGAACCATGACCATCTTGGAGTTCAGCTGCTCACCCAAGACAAAAAAAGAACGGGAGACAACATGCACCCCACTGGAAAATTAAGATAGTGCCTTACACGCGGAGGGTACAGCAGCTCCCCTCCTCCCCAGGGTTTGCACCTAGCCTGCCAGGTCCACAGGAGTCCTGGGGCTCCCAGGAGAGGGCAACCCACCTTAAACACAGTGAAGATCAGGAGTACAAGCTTAAGAGGGGACTGAGAAGAAGGCAAAGTGAGTTTAAAGTTTAATAGAAAAGCCTTCACATAGGCAGGAGCTAGAAAAGGCATCCAAGCATGGAACAGACACTGCCTTGCTCCCAAGATCAGTGGGAGATCAGTTTCCCAAGAGGGACAATGTGCCTATGCACTAAGCTACACTACTAATGGGAAAAAGCAAGATCCACCTGCTCAGAAGTTAGGTTTGTCTCGGCCTTAAAGACTGAAAGGTTAGGCAATAAATCTGAAGGCCTAAAACCTAACTGGGTAGAGAACAAGAGAGCAGGAGTAGGGAATGGTAGGGCTTTGCTGGATAGTCTGTGCACGTGATAAACTGCAGTGCAAAAAATACCTAAGCACCACCAAAAAACCATAAAAAGATTGTTTGAAGTCATTAAACCCCACCTTTTCAGCAAGGTGGACCCTCACTTCAAAGACAGCATTAGCTCAGAGCATAGCAAACTTCATCACAGGCCAAACAAGAAAGCCAGTTATCTTGAAGATGCCAAAAATGCTTTGTGGAAGCAAACTGTGGCTCTTGATCCAAATGTTGATCCAATCCTTAAAAAGAAGGAGGGGCGTCTAACACTAGGGACCTCAAACTCCACTTCCCCTGCAGAGCAGTGAGGCACATCAGATGCTGGGCCAGGACTGCATCACATCTGTTGGTGGGAGAGCAACTGCATCAAAGAGGTGGAGATGCCACCTAGAAAGGCCTTCTCTCAGCAGGTCACCCATTCAGGCCCAAACCCACTGCTACTCTCAACACACAGCCTAGGAGCTGAACAATTACAGCACTAGAAAAGGGTCTTACTCCTTGTCTCTTCAGTGTTCAGCACCAAGCACAAGTCAAGCTTTGGCACTAACACTGCTCAAGTTCTACCCACCTGATGAGCAGCAGACATACAGGACTCAGCACCCATGTCCAAAGATCTTAAGGACAAATACTAAGCCTTAATCAAACAGTTGATTTTCAAAGATAAGCCACGAGGCCAATAAAACGAGAACAAAATGCCTCTGAAAGTTAATCCTTCTCCACAAGGACCTCAATTTCACCATCTGCAGAAAGGAGATGAGCGCAAGGAACACATTTGTGGGCCAACAGCTGCCACAGCATCACCTCTAACAAATCGTCAAAGGTAGGTGTTTGTGCTGAATTTTAAGGCTGCAATAATTAAAGCAGCAAACTAGCAAAGATACAGAAGTTGCAAGCTCACTGCTTCAAAGTCACAGGGGGAAGGGTTCACAACATTTAAAAGGAAACTGCTTTTCACTCAGGTTGCTTTTCACTCACCTCTCCGGACAGATTCTCATTCAGAAAGTGCTGCACTAGATCATTTACTACTCTTGCTTTGATTTCTTTATCAAACTGGTCTCCAATCTCAGCGAGCTGAGCAGCAATGATCCGGATAACTTCTTCATTTACCTCAGGGCCAAACACTGCCAACACACACAGCAGGATTTAGTTCACAGGCTGTACTCAGACTGGGTTCAGTTTGGGTAAACGGGCCCATGGCACTTTGCCCCTCTCCATCAATTTCCTTCCCACTCCCAATCACACTGCATTCCTGACAGCTGCACACACCCAACTCCCTCGTGTGCACTTGACTCATTTGACAGGGACAGTGTGCAAACAGGGGTTTTTTTAATCTATAGTTTAGGTAAACTGCAGCTTCACCTTGCCTAAAATACACTATGGGGAGGTTAGAATGTCTCCAAATAAAATTTGTACACGACAGCTACAGCCAACACCCTGCCAAAAGAGGGGAAGCCAGAGAGCATGCATGACTTTGACTGCTCTCAGGACCCATCTCTTAAGCACCATGTAAAATGCATCTCATAGAATCACAGCATGGTTTGGGTTGGACTGGACGACATTTAAAGGTCCCTTCTAACCCTTTTGCAGTGAGCAGGGACATCTTCAACTATACCAGGTTGCTCAGAGCCCCATCCAACCTGACCTTGAATGTTTCCAGGGATGGGGTATCTACCACCTCTCTGGGCAACCTGTGCCACTATTTCACCACCCTCATCTTAAAAAAAAAAAATTCTTCCTTATATCTAGTCTGAATCTACCCTCTTTTAGTTAAAACCCATTTAGTTAAAACCTTGTCCTACCTCCCTTTGGCAAAGCTTCCCATTTTCACTTGGAGCATGAGACCTGTGCAGATTTGTAGGAGGGAGGGCTATTTACTGCAGCAGTTCCTCCTCACCCTGCGTAGGTTGAGGTCAACGTGCCAGCTGACACATCCTGAGCACAGGGCAATAGCCATACTGCAGATGGCTAGTAAAGCAGGAACGGTACCAAAAACTAATTAAGGAACAGTTTCCACCACACTGGTGGAGCAGAAAGGGATTCACTCGGTACCAGAGCAAAAGCTGTTCCAAAATCCTAGCCCAAGTACTGACACTGTGTGAGGAGCAGCATGAGGCCCAACTTAACTGCTTCCTATCCTACTCCTTGAAGACAGCAACCATTACTATCAGCTTTGTGTCCCTTGTCTGACATGCTGCAGACAAAACCCCAAGGTGATGGGTGCTCTAAAATTCCATGGGGAGATAAAGTGCTAAGTAGTAACTGTCTTATTCCAACTGTTAAAATCCCAACCAACACCACCACTGGCCACACCATGAAGTCTATCAATGCAGAAAACATTACTCCTCTGAAACAGACCAGCAGCAAAGGGGAGAAAAGGGGAAAGAAAAACATCACCTTCAGAGAGGCACGTAGGATGGAGGAAAGAGCACTCACCTAGCTCACCGTTCTGCAAGTGACCGCTCCGATTGCCATCGGTCTGAAGTTCCACCTCATCATCATAGCAGTAGCTGTCTTTCAGGAGAGACACAATCCCCTGGTTTTGCAGGGAATGAAGATGTTCTTTGAACTTACAGTCAGAGGATACATCCAGGAAGGTGTACAGCAGCGCGCTCTCCATCTGGACAGATCCATTGATCTTAGACATAAGAAAAAAAATCACTGTTAAATCCATGGCCAGGGAAAGTCACAATCAGAAGGTCTATGTATACCCTGTTTTCCAACCCTGAACATTGCTCTGGCCTCCTTTGGGCATCCTGAAGAGCATTAAGCCAGGGAATCCACAAGACTTGAGCAAATGCACACTAACCCCTGGCTATGTACTCACACAGAACTGTCTGTTGGTGAATGATAGATGGCTCTGTTGTTACAAACCAGTGGTGGAAGAGTCAGCTCACCTTCTCCTGCACATTTACAGTTGTGGCAATAACAGAAACCCTGATCAGAGCTCCCCTTTTGAAAGACGTGTGTACTCAGCACAAACCACCCACCTCTCCCTATTCAAACATCTGTGTTTGGAAGGTTTTTACCCCTCTATTTGGGAATTGGGCATTTTACTTCCTGTGCGTAACGAAGCCAGCAGCTCCCCACTTAAATGTAATCAGAGCCTAGCAGTAACAAGGTGGGAAACAGAAATAACAGACAGCATAAGCCTGTAAAACACCTTACAGTTCATATTTCTTCTCTCTTTGCAAAGGGATCTCAATTAGTTCCACAATAAACCTGTTCAGCTCTCTGTAGAGAGTCAAACAGTTGCTCACAAGAACAGTGAGATGACAGATCACTGATGTCTGGTATCATCTCCACTGGCATGTTCACCCCCAGCAAACAGACATACGCTGCCTCCACGGGCACACATCCTGCCACAGAGCAACCACATTAGTTAGGCTGAGGAGTTCCACGAGGAAACCAGATCAATGTGAGCAAGAGGTCCCACTGGAACATGGGGTCTCATGACCACTTGAGGCCTCCGTAGAAAACCAGGAGACTGTCCAATAATTTTAGTTAAGCAGCTAAGAGAACAGGATGTTTTGTAAGCACAGAAATAAAGGAAGAAAAGAAAATCCTCACTCTGGTATGCAGACTGTCTGCCTTTAAGATAAGAAAATGTTTAGGCTTAATGGTAACTAGGGGGAGGAATCAAGGCTAAAGCAGAATAGTCTGTCTTGTCAACTGCATAGGGCAATCAATATGCAACAAGAATGAACCTGACAATTGAAAGGGACTTTCAGGTACCCTGCAAGACTACCTATATCTAGATAACTGTATCAGTAATAATACAGGACCCATACTGCCTAGGCAAAATCGGGACAAATGCATAAACAGTAATTAAGGATGGGTTGTTTACTTGAGAGGAGGCTGGGCAGAGAAATAGAGGAACAAATGCAACAAAAAGAAGAGTTCGGAAATGGAAACAAATGGAAAATAAGGTATATGATCAGCCAAAGATCAACAGAAGGCACATCTTCCATGATCCACGGAAACATGGATGTTTACAGACAGAAGTCAAGCTCACCTGATGACCCAAATTCACTGGGACACCAGGCATGATCTCCTTGAACAACCCACTGGACTAGTCACAAGGTTTTATGTTTAAAAGCCTTGTGGGAGGGCAGAGCAAAGAGGGTTAGAACTGTACCCTAACATTAGGTGGGGTGGGGAGGATGACAGACATTTCAATAGCAGCTCAATGTAAGTTAATAAGATTTAAGTGTGATACATAATTGTGGTCAAATATTGCACAAACCAATACAAGAAATTGATCAGCAGTGTGTGTTAATTTGATTTATTAGAACTCAGAACAAGTGCACAAGAGAACCGACGGTCACTATGAACCACTGAGTTCAGTCAAGTTAAAACTAACCTGTTCCATGATGGATTCAGAGACAGAGCAGCTCTTGTCACCCTCTGCTTCAGACCAGAAGTCCTTGCCCTGCAAGAGTGAGAAATAAAAGGGTGAAAGTAAAAAAAATTCCCCAAACCCCACAACTTGCAGCAGTGCTCATGAGTCTGACCACGTCTTGTAGAAAATGACCTTTCTAGCTATGCATATCCCTATCTCTGGAGAGGGCTGCCCATCACACACTGGCAGTCATTAAAAAAAAAAAAGGCTGAGAAAACCACAACTGTTCCAGCAAGAAGGGCCCTATTTACATGAAATGAGAGGCAGGAAATCCCTTCCTGCCATAGACTTGTGGAGGGGAGTGGAGCAACATGACCTACACACGGAGCTTTAAAGCCAAGAGGTGGTGCTGGGGAAGGGAAGGACCTTGTGCCAGAGGCTGGAATGGAAAACTGTTATCACAGAGGACTTCCCAAGTACCTACTGAGAGCAGGTGAGCTGCTTGGGTCTGTGTGCACAGCAGTGTATTCTGAAGTGAAACACCCAGCTGATGCTGCAACACATCTGCAGGACCTCAAGCATGCCTTTCCCCAGCCCCCATGCACAGACACATGTCTATACTCAGGCTTATTTCAGTGCTTTCCCAACAAATATCTAGGGACAGGGAAGGTTGGACCAAGCGTCAAAGGCTTCTAGTTCCATGAGCACAACTCCACTAAGCCTGGCTGAAAGTGGGCACCACCTTCCTACCAGGTCTTCTTCACTGAGCTGCTGCACAGGTTCCTTCTGACCAAAAGTGGGGTGAAAGCACCGAGGAGGCTAAAGAGATGGTCTACTAACCATCAAAGACCTGGGCTACTGATGAATGATCTTATTTCATAGTAGCAACCCCTCACAGCTATGTTTTAAATAACTAGTGTGCTCGTGGAAAAGAGGGATGAAGTGAAAGCAGAAATGCATTCAAACTCTGAAGGAAACCACAGTAATGATTCCAAGAGACCATGAATTTCCCAACTTTTCAAAGGCACTCAGAAGTCCCCAAGACCAAAACACAATCTCAAATATGTTTAAAACACATAACAGCCCACAGGCAGCCTCTTAACCATAAGCTCTTTTTTTCAGTTAGTTATTACATTAGACTAATAGCTTCCTAAAATACAGGCTTAGGCTTTGCTGCTACCTACCTCTACTCTAAAGAGTGGGCTGGCTGGGGAGAGCGCAGTCCTCTGTCCTCTTCTCTGGGACCTGACAGGGCTCTGAAACAGGGCAGGGTGACCCTTCTCCTAGGCTTGACTTTGCTGGAAGAGAGAAAGACGTTAATTCAGATTGGAGAACTTGAGACAGAATCTCTTGAGATTAAGGGGAAAGCGAGGATTTTAGCATTAAGCCTGTGGCATGTCCTTGGCTTTGTGTAAACTCCTCAGGAGTTGTCCACAAAAGCAGTATTTCCGTGGGTTAAGCGAAGCCTCAACTTGCACATATTTTGTTTTTAGATATAATATTTACTTTCAATTCAAAGCAATTCAGCGGAAAACCAAGGTGTTTTCATGTTACAACTAGTAAACAGTGGATCTACTCTGTTAGTAACTCCTGCTGAGTTAAACGCCACTTCTGAACCGTCTTGGCTGAGCCCACAGGAAGCTTTAAGTAGTATCAAGCCTCTGCTGCCCACATGATGTTGGCCTTGAAACCCACATTCATCACAGTGACCTTCTTGAGCTCTACCAATATTGCCATTCCCACCCAACTCTAGTTTATGCCAAAACCTTCGTGTGGGACCGGAGCAGTAATCTACAGCTGGTCAGATTAGCCCAGGCTGGCTAATTTGGATTGATAACAGCCAGCTGACTTTGTAACACGAGCACAGGCTGAACAAATCTCCCCTTCTTTCAAGGCACAAGAAGTCACACTGTCCTCCATTCACACTACACGTCTGCAGAGCACTGGTGAGGCCTCACCTCGAGTACTGTGTCCAGTTATGGGCCCCCCACCACAAAAAAGACATTGAGGTGCTGGAGCGGGTCCAGAGAAGGGCAACGAAGCTGGTGAGGGGTCTGGAGAGTAAGTCTTATGAGGAGAGGCTGAAGGATCTGGGGGTGTTCAGTCTGAAGGAGGCTGAGGGGAGACCTTATCACGCTCTATAATTACCTGAAGGGGGGATGAGAGAAGCGGGGGTCGGTCTCGTCTCCCAAGTCACAGGAGATAGGACAAGGGGAAATGTCCTGAAGTTGCACCAGGGGAGGTTTAGATTGGATATTAAGAAAAATTGCTTCACGGAAAGGGTTATGAAGCATTGGAATGGGCTGCCCAGGGAAGTGGTTGAGGCACCATCCCTGGAGGTGTTCAAAGGACGGGTTGACATGGTCCTCAGGAATATGGTTTACTTATTTTTTTATTGCTTATTTCTTATTTATTTTTTTGTCAGAGTTAGGTTGATGGTTGGACTAGATGATCTTCAAGGTCCCTTCCAACCTAGATGATTCTATGATTCTATGTTCTTCCACAGTTCTGGCAGAAGTGTGATTCAACACCGGCCACTACAGCTGCAAGTTGCACACAAGTGGCCAGATGTGCTGGGTGAAACTAGCTGAACAGCACCAAAGAGGTTTCTCACTTCCAAGCCCTTCACAGTGAAACCTCTTCCACCTAAACCTAGCTAAACTTTGCTAGGATGACCTATTTTTCTCTCATTGATGGTAATTCTAGTCAATCGGAATTGAAGGGTGAATTGGACCCAGTCAAGTGGTAATAAACAGACTAAAACATCAGCCTGCAGAGGGACCAATGCCATCTTTCTTACAAGTGGATGGAATAGAAACAGAAGTCAAGACGCTTCCTTGGGGGTTTGCCACCTGCCACGTCTTTCCAAGGAAAGCTCAGAATGTAGCTTTAAAACCCAGTGTGACAAAAAAACGTAGGGAATCTATTTCACACTGCCAGGAAACTCATTGGGTTCAGTCTGAACAGTCATGAAAGAGGCAACCAAAAAGAAATGCACCATTGTTTTTTCTCACCCCCTGCTTTAAAAGAAGAGGCACAAGCCACTCCTGCCCGAGAAGGAAAAGATGCACGCTGCTCCATTCCCAAAGCAGAAAATAAAAGTCAAACAAAAAGATCCAGATCTATTCTGGACATGCCTATACAGCTAGAAAGGCAGACATAAAGGGGCTGAGCAACCCCTGCCCTGCCAGGGTACCCGCTGCACCCAGAGATGTTAATAGGTGTGCAGGGGGAAGAGACCTACTACAATACACTGGGGTTCTTCCCTTCCCTGTAGGGGATCATCTCAGCTCTATGTAAAAAGTTAGACACTACTCAGGGCAAGTCCACAGAAATAGACACATTAAAAAAAAAAAAATCACCCATCATAGTTGCAAATTACAGGTTTGTCCACTCTTGCAAATGAGCAGAGAGATAAGACAGAAAAGAACAATAAAAACAAAAACTGACCACACTCCAAAGTGCTTAAATGGTAAAAAATTAAGACAAGAAGGCTTGAAGATGATAATTTCATGAACTGAATTCCCTGAATCAAAGACTCACCACCCAGGCAGTAAAAGCCCCTGAGGGGTTCCAGTTCTTGGCTAATAAAGTTCTGCTTGGGTGGTCTAAAACACACCTGAGAACAGAAAAAAAGAATTTATCTCACACCACAAAATGGCTCCCTACTACTATAATACAGGGCCAATTATTTAGATTTTGGGGTTCTGCTGTACCTCCAGGCACTGCAAGCAAGTCATCAGCAGCTCCCCACATGGCAGCAAGAATCAGCCGGTAGCATATAAGCTGCCATAAACAGGAGTAGGTCCCAGAATCCCTACAGCAACAGCGCTGAGCCACCCTACAAATCTGGTTTCGCCCCTTCTTCACACTTTTGTCACATCTTCAAGATGGCTCAGAAAAGAATGCACCCCACGAATAATGTCTCTGCTCACAATCGCTTTCCCTCGTATCCTTCACCACTCCTCACAGCTCAGCCTCAGAGTTACTATTCTCGGCTGTTATCAGACACTGTCTGGTTATGAAAACATGCTCTTTCCAGCAGCAAAGCCACAATCCTTTAACAACCTGTCTGGATTCTGAGACACCTCCCATACAAACACCTGGACAGACACAATACCAGTCAATGGACCTGTTGTGTGAGTTGTCAAGATACTTATCTTTATGTCTCACATTTGAGTTAGGAGCGGGTTAAAGTCTCCAAAGCAGAAACTGCAATAAAGCATCAGTCATTGAGAAGGAAAAAAACACTTCCAACCTGTGCACTGCTTTCTCTGCCCGGTAGCTGGAAGATAAGAACTTTAATTTTGGCACTCAGGATGACATCATTATTGGAAGCAATGAAACAGTGCCTATTTGTCTCTCCCTGGACCTGGCGGCTTCCACTTGCCTTGTAGGCAAACATTTTATTGCTGAGCTGCAGAGCTCTTTACAGAACAAGGCATCATTTTACAGGCAGGGAAACTGAGGCAACTGATATGACCTGACATTTTAAATCCACAGATCAAGCCATAACCATTCAATTTCACTGACCTCCCGAAAACTTGCCACAGGCACAACTGCTTTACATAACCAGTGTAACTGGAAAGTGAGGAAGAGAAACAGCACCGCAGACCTGTGAAGTTCCTTATTTGAGGATATTCTAAGCTGTGCCAGACTGCTGTCTGCAGCACTTCAAGTCACAACAGGGGAAGCAAATCCCTCATCACAGAGCCCAAAGTCCCCAAAGGAATCCCCATCACCCTGCCAGTAAACCCAACAGGAACTACACAGCCCCAGTAGCAGCAGGTAGCAGAGCTTTTCCTCAGATTTCTCTAGCTACAGAAGAAGCCTTAGCAGCTGCACGTGAACTTCAGACTTTACACAGAGAGAGAGGAAAAAAAAAAACAGCAGCAAAAGGGAAGACAGCTTGTTGATCAGCAAAAAACCAGAGATGAATATATAGGATGTTATCATAACCACAGAAAACCTGTCCCCATCACTACTCAGTCTGCAAAGGATACGCCAGCCTGTAACAGCGTTTAGAAGATCCCAAGATTTTGCCTCATCTGAGACCTACTGTCCTCCTAAAGTACAATTTGATACTATGCTTTGGAAAGAAAAGCCGGGGGGGGGAGCAGAGACATTGCAATATATTAGCCAGGTGAAGGATGGGCTGAACAAGCTCCTTTGTGCATCTATGGATGTACATACGCATGCTACTGTGAAACCAAAGCAACGGTTTGGTATCATCTGGGTAAGACCAAAGCTATTGACTTGGAGTTTCTCAGGACTTTCCCCACCACGGGGAACACCACTTCCAAACTACAGGCATTTTCCATGCATTTGCCTCCGAGGGAGGCAACAACATCAATAGCTTCATTTCAGAAGTGGCAAAACCGGTAAGCCATGGGCGGAACACCTTGAGATGCCAGCAGGTCTGTGGCCTGGCCAGGACAGACCCCATCACCCTGTCACTTGTGGTTTATTTGCTAGGTTCTTAGGAAAGATACTCTGCTTCTCAAGAACCACAAAACTGCTTAAATCCACCCCTCCCTGCTACTCTCAAGCATGACTGCCGAGTGCTTGAGGCTATCAGTTTTTGTTTCTCTTCCTTTCAGATTGTGCCCTTTTAAGATGTGAATAATGGCACCTGGGGGTATTGGTGTACAGTCAGCTGAACATGAGCCAGCAGTGTGCCCAGGTGGCCAAGAAGGCCAACAGCATCCTGGCCTGTATCAGGAACAGTGTGGCCAGCGGGAGCAGGGCAGTGATGGTGCCTCTGGACTGGGCACTGGTGAGGCCTCACCTCGAGGGCTGGGTTCAGTTCTGGGCCCCTCACTACAGGAAGGACATTGAGCTGCTGGAGCGTGTCCAGAGGAGAGCCACCAAGCTGGTGACGGGTCTGGAGAACAAGTCCTATGAAGAGAGGCTGAGGGAACTGGGCATGTTTAGTTTGGAGTAGAGGAGGCTGAGGGGGGACCTCATTGCCCTCTCCAACTCCCTGAAAGGAGGGTGTAGAGAGGTGGGGGTTGGCCTCTTCTCCCAAGGGAAGAATGACAGGAGCAGAGGAAATGGTCTGAAGTTGGGGCAGAGGAGGTTTAGATTAGATCTGAGGAAGAATTGCTTTCCTGAGAGGGTGGTCAGGCACTGGAACAGCCTGCCCAGGGAGGTGGTGGAGTCACCATCCCTGGAGGTATTTAAGAGATGCGTAGACATGGCACTTCAGGGCATGCTCTAGTGCCCAGGAGTGTTGGTTTGTGTCTGTTTGTGGGTGGGTGTGGGGTGTTTTTGGTAGGGTTTTTTTTTTTTCCAACTG